CACATGGAGTCACTAAAGCAACATGCTGCTGATGTTGGTGATATCTTCTAAAATATATACCTTTTATTTCTTTAGAAATAGCATTGGAATCCCCTTCTTTCTTCTTGGAAAACCCATAGGCGTGGTTCTTAGATGAACTTCCAGAACCCTCATCTCTCGACAAATGCCCTTCACGAACAACCTCTTCCAAACGAACACCACTTCTTACCATCTTCGTAAAATCACTTGGCGCACTGGCCACCATCTTCTCATAGTAGAATTATCCAAGAGTCTTCAAGAACACCTTGGTCATTTCTTTCTCTTCGAATGGATGAATAACTTGAGCAACAATTTCGCATAAATGTTGCGTACTCTTTGTATTACTCCTTGTCCTTCTGAGTCATGGCCCTGAGTTGATCACAATTAGGTGCCATGTCCATGTTATACTTATACTAGCTAATGAAAGCTTCACCAAGGTCATATAAATTATAAATGTTAGTGCTATCCAAGCCCATTTACCGTTTCAGCGCAACTCCAGTTAGACTATCCTGGAAGTAGTGAATCAACAGGCGTAAATCATCAGTGTGAGTAGACATTTTTCTGATATATATTACCAAATGAGCTTGAGGGTAAGATTTTCTCTTGTACTTTTCAAATCCAGGTATCTTAAACTTAGCAGACACCTTGACGTTGGGAACAAGGAAAATGTCACTGAAATTCTTCCATACAACTCCTTTCCCCTAAGAGCCTTCATTTCTTTTTGCATCTCCAGAAATTGATCCTGAAACTCATTCATACGGTCATAGATTCCCATTATTTCACTTGGAGCAGCAGCAACATGATAAACTTGATCATTAATAACAGGAACAATGTGCATAACAGGCGATGCAATAACCATAATAGGATGAATAGGATGAGAAACTTCAACAACTGGAGTATAACCTTCAGGGACAAAGTTCTCAAGCCTAACCCAAGGATAACCACAAGGCATCTAACATTTAGAAGCCGTAGTGATAGGAACAATTGAAACAAGAACTGATAGTACCTCAGAAATAACAATAGCTTGCTTTTGAGGTTAAACAATATGAGAAGGAGGAGGTGGTGATGGTGGCTTATTCTGAGTCGCCATCAGAGATTCCACCAGAGCAGTAAGTCTTACCATTCCAAATTTCAAAGTAGTTACCTCTTCATGGAGCTCATAATTTTCTTGTTCAAGGTTGTCCATCATTCTCTGGTAATTCGCCTGAGTATTGTATGGATACGATAACTTGCTGTTGAAGGTAAAGAGAAATAGATAAGACACTTGAGAAATTTGTGGAATGCAAAAATCAAGTGCTAAATGATGCATGATATGGAATGAAAATGATTTGTTTTATTATTAGCTTTCAAGGAACTTAAAGAACTATAAACATCAAAGGAATAACACATTTAAAATACTCAATAATCTCATTTTATTAATAATTCAGAAGGATTACAACTTTTAGTACAAGTTTCAATAATCCTAAATACAAGAGAAAGATAATACTAAAATCTATGGGTCCAAATCGCTCTCTGAAAGCCACCTAATCAGATACCAAAGATGTTAACTTCCTCAACTCTTGCAATTTAGGACTCTTGAAACTGTAGTTTTTAATGCTTCTATTTCCAAGATCCACAATAGAAGTACTTGAGATGTTTGCAAATAAAGGTCTAAGTTCCTTGAAAAAATAGGTGAAAATAATGTTTTATGAATGAATGAGTGCATGATTATGCAACAATCACAAACAATATCACAATTAATATGGCAAACAAAGGGGGTAATAGGTTCGACACCACAACCATGGAGTCAAAGGTACTACCCATAAGGTATAGACTAAGGGTTTCAAACCACCTATAGAACATGGTTCTAAAAGTTTCTAGAGCCTACGATCATATTTCAGATATTATCAGTCTAGCGACTACCAAGAACCAATAATATATTTAAGAGAAACTCGTCTGAATGCAGTATCACATATCAATTATTTCAGGACTGCTCCTAGATAGTCATTGCACTACATCCTAAAAGGCCAAGATGGGTTAAGTGTTTTACAATCCCCAGGTTCTCAGGCTCCCAGGTTGAAAAGTGATGATATCGCATAACTGGCTTGTTTAACATTATCACCCTCAAAGAGGCCTCCACTGAGCGAAGGGTCTCATTCCAACATGCTTAGGACTGCTCCCGAAATGTCAACATGATTATACCCCCCATAATCATAAGTGCCCTAATGTTTGGGTATATGACTTATATAATAGCATCACCAAGCACCCTGAAAAATAGAACAATCCAGACACACAGGCAAATATACAACAAATAAAGGCACATACACAAATAACCAAGGTAGTTTCAACCCAGTTATAGATTTATCCCCAATGAAGTCCCAAAATTTTCTGTAGCGATGAGAAGTTGAGATTAAGCCATTGATTGACTTAACTTACAAAGTGAAAATCGCCAACACACTTTATTGTTAACAAAGAAAATGAGAAAAGAACGAATAAAACCTAAAATAAAATAGATATCAAGGTAAGGGGATAGGTTATACAAAGGGAAGGTATTAGAACTCTAAACATCTACGATACTCTGTAATAACCTTTTTTAAAATATGTGTATTTGGCTAAAAAATGGTTGTTTGTTAATAAATGATTGGAGGGGTAAAATAAAAAGAAGTATTTTTTATGATTTTTTATTTGACAAATCTTCCAATGCACTCTGGGCCTACATACCAACAATATGCAATGCTGAAATTAAAATCCATGTAGTTCGGGTTAAAAAGACCAAAATATGTTTGTTATGTTTAGTTTTGATGTAAAAGACATTTTTTTCTTATCTGAGTGGAAAACCAGTAAACTATGACAATCATGGTAAAAAGAGAACTTATAGCCTGGGCCAAGTCAACAGTGCAAGTATCAACTTATAAGTGGAAAGTTACTTTAATATTATCATGTTTGTTAAAGTGGTGAGGTATGCAAACACTCAAAGAAAAGACTAATATCTTAAAATTTTTGAAAGGTTAAAATGAAAAGTGCACTAAGGCATAAAAAATTTGAATGAGGTTGATGAATTTTAGTCTTTTGAAAGATGTCAAAATATGATTAAATGGATTAAGGTTTTGATTAAGAAAAATAGTTTTGAAAATTCATGGACCTAAGTCCAAGTTTATTATGAAAGCGGTTCAAGTTTGAAAACAAGAAGTGTTTTTAGAAAAAAGAGGGTGAAAATTTTGAAATTAAAGAAGATGGGCAAGAGATGAAGGGAGTATCCTAAAGAAAAAAGTAAAAGTTAATGTATGAAAGGTCTAACCAAACAAGAAGCCAACACTTGACATAATGAAGTCAATATAGGACTCACATCCTTTGGATTAAAGCCACACAATGAAGAAATAAGCATCAGATGAATAATAAGTACCTCAGGTCCAAGCTTGCATCAGATTAAATTTTAAAGTAACACCTATACGCAGAAAATTTCCCAACACAAAAACAAAATAACAATAAAGAAACACAAGATCCAAATGTATCAAGGTCTTAAAGTATCAAGGCTTCTAATCCTATGTCCAAGAAGTCCAAAACTCAAATATGCAAAGGATAGTAACCAATAGTCCAAGAAGAGCCTTAAGTAATTTATTTGTTCAAGTTAGTTATTAAATGTCTTCAAAAGAAAAAAGAAAGCTCAAGTGAGCAAAGATAAAATGACATAAAATAAATGCTAAAGTGAGCAAAAGGCAAATAACATGAAATGTAAATGCTAAAGATAAAAGTGCATAAAAGTAAAGCCATAAAAATAAAGGCATAAAGATAAAGGCATAAGATAAAGGCATAAAGATAAAGGCATAAAGTAAAGTTAATTGTTAATGGTTAGTAAGTTAAAATTTAATGGTCACAAAGTAATGACCAATGATGATCTTGGACCAAAAAAATGAAGACTCATTAGAGGATTGATAAAATTAAAACCTCCTAACAATAAGTCTCATAGGTATTGGACCAAAGACAACAAATCAACCATACTTGGGCATTTAAACATAAAGTTTGAACCACGTATGGTCATTTTCTGAATTAGGACAAATTTAACGCTATGTTAGGCAGTTGTAAGTTGACTTATGTAGAAGTCGCACCTATCTGAAGTCGGCCAATAACATTATATGTACCCTACATGTTAGAGACATTTATAAAAATCAAGTTCCTAAAACAATGTAGTACAAATCAAAACCTAAAGATCAAGATCTAGGTCTTGTTTAAAAATAAAATAAAAAAATTAGATAAAAAGAAAAAAAAGAAACTAGAATCAAAGTAGATGAAGGTATAATTTCCACATGACCAAAATTTGCCAATGTCAGAACCAAAATGAAAAGAAAATTATTATTGCAATTAAAACAAGGGTTAAATAAGTTTTTGGTCCCTCTAAATATCTCAAATTTCATTTCCAGTCCCTCAAATATTTTCCTTCGAGGATTGGTCCCTATAAAAAATTTTGTCTGAATAATTGTTCCCTAACATCAAGTTCCACTAACGGCTTCCTATGTGGCAAGACAGGTGGATTAAATAATTTGTTTTGATTTTTGATATGGAACTCATTACATAAGTAAGTGGCATATCTCATGTTTCAAATTCATATTCCTTCGATAGTGGTTCCTCTCTCCAACAGTGGTATCTCCATCTTGTGGTCCCAAACATTGACGAATCTTGAGCTGGTTGCTGCATTGCTACGGTCCCAACAACAATTAGGTAAGTCCCACTTGCTATAGTTTATTCATTCCGAACATTACTTGCATGCCGCATCGGTTGGTCCCAAATTCTAGGGTTTTTCATCCTTAATCTGTTGGTAATGTCCGAGTTACCCTTGCTTTTTCTTGAAATGTGTAGGCAATGGGGTTATTTAAGGTTGTCTTTTATACCAAAGGGTCATTTGTAAAGGATGAAGGGTTAAAATATGAAGGGGTGATGTTTACGCTGTAAGTAGGCAAGATCCTGATTTCTAGTCATACTTTGAAGCACGTGACTTAATTAAGGGTATGGATTCATCGTTTAAAACTGAAGATGTGAAAATATGGTGGAAATCTGAACATTGCTCTCTTGAAAATGATCTAAAACCCGTTATTAATGATGAGGATGCAACAATGTTAGCTATGTGTGATGAGGAGACTAAGTGTGATGTTGAGATATATACAGAGGCAATATCATCTAGTGGTGAGAAGACTTATATGGAGAGGTTAAAAGAGAAAGAAAAAGGCCACGTTAATGTTGAGGAAAATGAAGATGGTGAGGGCAGTGAAACATCCGAGGAATCTTTGAATGGTATACACTTTGAAGATAGTGAAGAAGAGATGATGCACGATTTTGATAAAGACATGGTTGAAGGTGATGGTAGAGGTGGATTGGATAATGGTGATAGTACAAGTCAAATGGATAATGGTCAAGGGATACCTAAAGGGTTGACTACAACTTAGATGCAAAGGGAACATGTAATTGAGATTGGTTACATCACATATGAGCTTGATAGTGGGGAATATGATGATGGTGATAATGGTAGGCCTTCATTGATAAGGTTTAATGAACATGAAAACCTTAGAAAATAATCTAAATTCAAGGTGGGAATGGAATTTTCTTCTTTGAAGCAATTTAAAAAGGTTGTACTGAAACACAATGTGTTGAATGATAGGGAGGTTAGGTTTGCCAAAAATGATGGGATAAGGTGTAAGGTTATTTGTATGGACAAATAACAATGTGATTACATAATTTTATGCAGCAGGGTTTTGAGAACAACATCATTCAGGATCAAAACTCTATTTCAGAAGCACAAATGTGGAAGAAAGTTCATTAACAAGAATGCTAATGCTGATTGGGTATCTAGAGTGATTGTTGACAAGTTAAAGAACAATTTAGGTATGAAATTGAATGAAGTTGTAGCAGATGTAAGATTGAGGTTTTCTACAGAAATTACTGGATGTAGGGCTTTCAAAGTAAGGCAGCTAGCTAGAAAGTTTGTTGAAGGGGTCTCAGTAAGCAATACAATATCTTATGGTCATATGGAGCTGAATTGAGGAGGGAATCCAACAGAAACACATATAAGTTGAACATTTCTGGTTCGCCACCTAGGTTTGAAAGGTGCTACATGTACTTTGATGGTAAAAAGAAAGCATTGAAGGTTGGATGTAGACAATTCATAGGGTTAGATGGATGTCACCTAAAAAACAAATATGGTGAAATCTTATTGATAACTATTAGTGGAGATGCCAATGACTAGTTTCTTCCAGTTGCCTTTGGGGTTGTGCATAATGAAACTAGGAACTCTTGGAGTTGGTTTGTTAAGTTACTTCTTGAAGACATTGGTTCTGATGATAGGTAATGCTTCATGTCTGATCAGCAAAAGGTATTGTAATATAGTGGGAGAATTGGCTTGGTTTTGTGTTTTATCGCAAATGTTGCGGATAGCAAGAGTCGCCATTTTATTTTATCCATTAAGGAAAGGGTGAAAAGAATAGGAAAGAACTTTGAGAATTTTCTTGAGTTCGGGGGATAAGTAATGAAAAGGGAAGGTGTTAGCACCCTTTTCATCCGTAGTTATCTACGAGCTCTTAATCTCTAGCTCACTTTTGTTTTGAAATGCTATGTGTGTTTTATTTGAAAATATTTTGAAAAAATTCCTAAGTGCGGAAATTTTGTAATGATTATCATATCATTGAGAATGCGTACAAAATGTTTTATTTTAAATATATTTCAGAAAAGAAGTATTTTGTGAAAATGTTTTTTTTGTGTGAGCAAGCGATTAACAGTTCTAATCTTACTCGAATGTCTTTCGTGTTATTTTCCTCCTCCTTTAGATAATGTTATCCTACCATTAGTTAGTAGGAAGCCCTATTGTTGGATGTTTGAGGGACATGCACGGGTCATCATACAGTCATAAAGGAAACTTATAGGGTGCTTTAGAAATTTTATTGTAAGAGACTAAGATCATTTACCAAAGGCAGCATCGAATGGTCATCGAGGGACTATGATATTTTTAATCGAGGGTCTTTGCTAAAGCATCCCCACATTCAAGGGACATGATTGTGTTTATCCAAAGGCAACAAGTGAGGTTACCCTAGAGGTGTGCGTGTGAATAGTGATTCAGTTCAGTTATTTTATCTTGGATTTAGGGTTATCTAGCATTTTGTTTTAGATCTTGCCATACACGCCTAGTTACTATACAGTTATAAGAAAAGCAGTAAATTGCGGAAAGTAAATGTCCTACGCTATTAAAATGCTTCGGGGAAGGGGGGGTACCAAACCACAAAATTAAGAAAAAAATAGAAAGCGAATAAAATCCTAATTTAAGCTATTACATTCCTTTAGCAGTTACAAAAATCGGAAAAAAATAATAAAATACTTGACAGTAATAACATACGCGAAATTATAAAAGGAAAAGAAAAAAGAAATTTTGTTTGATTGTTTGATAAAAAAGTTTGTTGATTAACCTAAAACCTAGTTGATTTTAATTAATAGAAAAAGTTAGGTAATTAAATTAAATAAAACACTAAAATCTAAGTTGATTTTAATTTAATTAAGAAAATATTAATAAGTAAAAAACCTAAAAAATTAAAATAGTGTTTATTAAAAAAAACCTAAAATTAAATTGAGTTGATTAAATTAAAAACCTAAAATTAAATTAAAACCTAAAATTAAATTAAAAACCTAACATTAATTATTTGAGTTTATTATGAAAAATCAAAGGTTTGTGAAAAATGTTAGGTTTTATGAAAAAGGTTTTGCTTATCTGTGACAATAGGGAAAAAAAGGTTGAAAAGAGTAAGGAGAATAGAGAATTGAAACAACTAATAACCCAAAAAAGTAGGTGTGGATGTTGAACCCACGCCCTCCGGACTTTCCAACAACATGCTCACCACTAGGCCAAGCGTGCCTTGCTGTTAGGATCTGGCCTCAGCGTGTTTTGTAATAAGCCTGCATGGGACCATTACGATTGTCCAAACCTGTAGTTTAGAATCTCATGAACACATTAAACAAATTAGTATACCATGAAATACAATGATAAAAAATATATGAAATTTTGTAATATTAAAACCGATATGACATGTATGAATGCTTCTACACCCTTTTGATCATGGAGATCAAACCAACCTTACCCTACTGAATTCCTGGAAGTGAAGGAGATGACTTGTTTGTAGTGAAAAGAGTTTGTAACAAGGATTTTAAGATTTCTAGGGTTCTTGAAAGAATTTGATATTTTGACAAGGTTGTGGCAAGGGTTTTTTTGGTGTAATTGTTTGTATCAAAAGAATGAGATTATCTAGTAGAAATTATGGCAAAGATATGGGCTTTGGATGTGCAATTGGGCCTCCAATAACCACAAGCAATAGTACAAATTTTTATTCACTTGAGTTTGACACGTTCCAGGTAAATTTGCAGGGTTTTCAGTGCAATTTTTGAAGTTGAAATGTGAAATCAGAATGTAGCCAACATCGAGAACAAACTCTTGTCCAAAAATGAACTCAATCACATAAACGACGAATTAGTTATGAATTTTTGAAGTTTCACCTCAGACAACATAATTTCCAGCTTCAAAATTTTCAATGAGTTGCACGTGATTCAGGTAAAAAAAGGAAGCCTTTGGGGTACCATTTGCTTTTGAAAATAAAATCCAAAATTTAAATAACTCAAATTGTGAGACAATGCCACCAAAACCATCTTGATACGATAAAAATCGACCCAGTTATGAATTTTTGAATAAGGAGCAGATAAACATATGTCATAATTTTCCTGTGCGAAAACACTTGATAAATTCATATTTCCGGAGACTTTCTAAATTAAATTGGCTTCTGGCTGTGAGAGATGAAAACGTAGATGATGTCAAGACAAAATTTCAGCCACCGGAACTGGTTTAAAATAAGCCACGGGCTTCATGTTATGAATTTTTTAGTGCGTAAAAACTGCACTTTCAACACACTTTCTCACCATATTTCTTCGAGAAAACTCGCACATTCAGAGACCTTATTTAAAGAACTAGCTCTCGAGCCGAACCTAAATTTGAGAATATGTCACCACAAATATCTTGGCGAAAGAACGCCTGAATATGATGCGCCGGGTTGGACTTGTGAATCTTTGAACCCCTATTCATTGCGAAACGGCAAACTGATCTTTAGCACGAAAAATAATCTGAGAACATCCATTGACGAAATAAACGTCACCTTTAACCTGACGAGGGTTGCTAGAGACACTTTGATCCTATAACCATAAAACCAATGATATACATGCATGTAATAATGAAATATAAGCCAAAAAGGTCAAAATGAAGAAGGTAAGTTTTAGGGTACAACAACTGTCACTGTTCAATCTTCTTAAACCTGAAGAGTTAGATTGGTGCATCCGCCATTTGTGACTTGAAGGTAGAAAATAATTGAACACTTAAGTGCCCAGAAATTTGCACTCGTCTTTGCAAGAAGTAATGTTGTTGGTTAATTGTAGCGAGAATACGCTTAAAGATGCCATTTGAATTGTGACGTGATCTCGTCGGAGATGGGCTTATAGATGCCATCAAAAGTAACTGTTGATAGAAATACTAGAATAAGTCTACGCCTGAATATATTCGAAAGAACATTAGAGTAAATCTACGCCTGATTTCATCTGAGTAATGTACTAGAAGATGTCTACGCCTGACTTCAACTAGAAGAGGTATCAGAAAGAGTCTACGCCTTACTTTTTCCAAAAAGAGTATCAAAAGGAAATCTACGCCTGATTTCATATGAACTAGAAGATGTCTACGCCGGACTTCAACTAGAAGAGGTACCGAAAAGAGTCTATGCCTGACTTTTTCCAAAGAGAGTATTAGAAGGAAATCTATGTCTGATTTCATCTAAACTAGAAGACGTCTATGCCCGACTTCAACTAGAAGAGGTACCGGAAAGAGTCTATGCCTGACTTTTTCCAAAGAGAGTATCAGAAAGAAATCTACGCTTGATTTCATCTGAATGATGCCCTAGAAGATGTCTACGCCCGACTTCATCTAGAAGACGTACCGGAAAATGTCTACGCTTGACTTTTTCCAAAAAGAGTATCAGAAAGAAATCTACGCTTGACTTCATATGAACTAGAAGATGTCTACGCCCGACTTCAATTAGAATAGGTACCAAAAAATGTATACGCCTGACTTTTTCCAAAAAGATTATCAGGAGTAAATCTACGCTTGATTTCATATGAACTAGAAGATGTCTACTCCTGACTTCAACTAGAGGTACCGAAAAATGTTTACGCATGACTATTTCCAAAAAGAGTATCAGAAGGAAATCTATGCTTAACTTCATCTGAATGATGCACTAGAAGATGCCTACACTCGACTTCATCTATAAGAGATATCTTTCATAATGACTCTCTGGGAAAGTGCTTAAGTGGCTATTTGTCCGTTTTAGTCTCTGAGGGGAATTGTATGATCATGAAGATAGTCGAACCGTCTTTT